CGATGTTAAAACTTGACGTAACCTGGTAGAAAATACAGAAACAACTCCAAACTGTATGGGTTGAAAATACAAATTTACCTATACAAACATTGGCAAGGAGTCAAATTCGAGCATCACATGCTGCTGGCGCATCTAATATTTGTGCAGCAATTACCCGAACGTGCAACATTAGCGCTGCCATCGTTTTGTTGACGAATTTTGGTCGTTCCATTTGTGGCGCTGCATGGTGGGGCCATGCGGGGTCTATATCTACAGCTGTGGCTTCCTGTGCGGCATTTAGTTGGTAGTCGGTTGAGGGCAAATTAATGGTTTTCGTATGTCGCTGCCAAATTAAAGGACTTCGGGTAACTGATGCTGATATACAAACATACATGTACTCGTATGTATGTACATACGTAAATAATAGGTATAAGGAATAAAAAACAATAAAACCATATTTGAAAGTATGTCATATGCATATGTATGCACATATGCTTCACAACAATAAAAGAAAAATACAAGTTTCACAATTTTTCGAAATTCGAATTATCTTGGATGTTATAGCTGTTAACTTTTTTCGAAATTGTTTAGATTTTATTTGTTTTCTAGCGATTGGTAATACCGATTCTGCTCATTTTTTAAACGGTTAAGAATGGTGATGTTTTCTTCCCATTTTTATTTTTTATTTGGTCATACATTTTTTATAAAGGTTATTAAATTTTTTTTTTAATATTACTGACATCTCAATGGCTTTGAAATCGCATTTGGGCTAATATTGCTGTACGTTCTATTAACAATTATTTGCAAAAAAAATAAAAATAAAAAATTCCGGAATGCATCGCGACGAAGGTTAATCACGCTTTTCTCTTGATGTCCAACGTATTTTGTATGGAAATCGATGAAATGAGTTTCGCAAGCACGGCTAGACTCGCTGTCAATCGATACTTGTTTAAAAACTTATGCGAGCTAAATATCTACGACAAACGTTTTAAAAAAAATTTCATAACTTTTATAGAAGAAAACATCATCATTCCTAACTGTTTAAAAAATGAGCAGAGTCGGTATTACCAGCCGCGAGAAAACAAATAAAATCTAAACAATTACGAAATAAGTTACTAGCTAATAGCTTCCAAAATAATTCGCATTTCGAGAAATTGTGAAACTTGTATTTTTCTTTTTTCGGTGTGAAGCGGAAACAGATAATTGCACAAAAAAGCTCGCCCTTCGAAAAAATAGTGGCTCACTTCACAAATTTTTACTCAAATCATTTTGCTCGCAAATGTAGCCCAGTAAAATTAGATGAAATTGATAAGAAAAGAAAAATTTTAGCAGCGATTTTTTTGATGCAGTTTACTTCTATTTAATCCACAGTCTAACACAGCCCCTAAATTTCACATGGCAACATTCCGCCATCTTGGATTTGTAGTCTTTTGGCTTTTTTTGCGATTTGAAAGCTTATTTTGCATTTTTTGTAAAAATGGTTGAATACAAATTTGTAGATAATTTCCCACATTTTTTATATAGAAGTTTACAAAAAAAAAACATTTTTTATTGTAAATAATTAGCAAAAACTGCGAAAATTTTTTACATTGTGACGGTTTTCGCCATTTTTCAACAATTTCTGTTGAAAATACGTAGCGTATTCAAATACCAAAGTTGGAGAGAATTTCATTTTTCACAAATCAAGTTTGACTATTTTTCAAAGTGCACAGAACTGGGGGGTTAAAATACTTCTGGAATCTGATAGGGGCGCTGTAGTCGAATTATTGATAAATACTATATTTATAAACCAAAACAGATTTTATTCACAACATGCATTTAGAAATGCCCTAACCCATTTTCTTTCAAAATTCAGCTTAATTTAAAGGTCGATATATTACTCACTAAAGGAAGAAATTCCCAACTTAAGAACTTAACTTTTGATAAAGTTTTGTGACTACACAAAAGAGAGATGGGGCCTTTCTATATTAACATAACAACGATATGTACAATTATGTATAAGGGTTCAGTTAGTCTAGACTTAAACTACCTTACGTAACCTAATATATTGAGCAACGGAATATATTTTTGTTCAGTAATTTTTTGATGTGGCGTATAGGCGACAAAGTGACAATCAGCTGTAAAGGAAAATACAAAACCAAAATACTTTCGCTTCTGGCTAAGTTGACGTGTTGAGTAATCAATGCCGATTTCTTACGTAAGTTAAGTTAACTCTAGACTAACTGAACTTCAAGTAGTTCCGATATGAAAAAAATTGATGTTTGTATTTAAACCCAACCGAGCGCAAAATTACAGAGTTTGGAGTTTGGTTCAAAATAAGTTAGTCATGATTATTGAAGAAAATATAGCATGCGATGTTTTCACATATAAATCAGAGGCAATGTCAGTGGTGCAGATAAAGGGATGAGCTAACCACCACACTGCTTACAATTAAAAGTAGCAGTACCAATTATTTTGCTTCTTAATATAATCCAACAGCGACACTGTAGTGACTAGAAATTACTTTTCCAAGTCCAGACCATTTTCTTTGCGGCTTTGATTAGCGATTTTTATCCATGTCTGTTACTAGTTTATTTCCGCAAATGATTCTAGCCGTGGATTTGTTAGCAAACTCAGCGTTGATTTCATAATAAATTCGCACAATTTGCAGCGGGCTATGTAGAGGGTTAAGTGTAGTCATCAAAGAAGCGCAAGTTCGGTCTTTGTCATTTTTTTCGGTATAAGTCTCTCTATGTTTTATGTTCACGATTAGTTAAATATATTTTCTGAATACATAGCGCTCATTCATGCTTGATATTGGCCCGTATGAATAAAAACTAAGCGATGACTTTTTGTTAGAATTTCAGAGCTTTTACTAGATTTTTTAAAATAAATTTAAGTAAAAGGTTTGAAATTTTAAGAAAAAGCAATTGCTTAGCTTTTATTCATACGGCCCATTGAGCACAAATTCAGTGCTAAAATCTTGTGTAGTTCAGCGTAAGGATACAATTTGCATCACTTTTTTCTACATACATACATTTCGGGAGCAAATTGTACACACAAAACGAGTACCCTCGAAAATATTGTTTTTGCGTTGTGACAGTATTTTAGTAAATGAAACACAACCTCTTCAAAAGGGGCACAACTCAAAAAATTTAGGTCGATGTTTTTGCATAAATCACTTTGTAGGATTTATCTACCATTAATGCAAATGTTTTTTTCTCTACCTAGAAAACTACTGTCTACGATCCGCAAGCAGTTATATTTGCGGACCTGATTTTTGAGTTGTGACTCTTATGAAGGAAGTGTGCGGTATCTAGAATGTAATTGCAGCGGTTGGACTAATTTTAAAAAAATATACAAATCACTTTTTTTAATGGCTGCGTTTCTTTATACATTTCAGATAATCCGTTTTCAAAGCCAGAATAAATATAATCAGGAACGTTCTAACGAAAAGGTTAACAAAAAAGTTTATTCCAAACGATCAGAATGAAGAAAGAAATGCAGCGAATATTTTTATAAAACTGCTTACTACGTATATATACATTTGAGTCCCTTTCATACCAAAATGTTTCCAAGCGAAACGGAACTTAAGAACGATAAAATTGTATTCATGTAGATGTACGCATATGTATATATGTGTCACTGGTGTCGCATACCATAACTCGATTTTTTTTTGCTATAAGGCTGCAATTAGTTTAATAACTTCTAGTTATGTACGTATATTTTATTTTCAATTTACGCATCCATCGTTTTTGTGTTTACTCCTTAACGTGTTTTTGTGCTAAATATCAAATTCTTGCCATTTCACCTTTAACTGAATTTATATTTTCCAATAACATTAAATTACAACATACCTGGAAATGTGACGAAGCTAAAACTGCCATCAGTTCGTCTTTTAAATACTTATTTCCGCCGACCGATGAAACTGATTCGATAACATCTCTACACCGCGCTACGGCATCACCTGGAGGTGCACGGGATGGTGACATCACGGTCGAGCTAATTCGATCAAACAACTGCTTAAAACATAAACGAAAAATTTAGCAATTTTATTGCGGAATATGCCCAAGTGATAGTTACATATATCAAGTGCCAACTAACCTGTAAAAACTGGTGTAATCGACCATCGCGCAACATTTCACGCAACACTTCTGGATCGACATTGAAATCCTGCAGCGCATAAATATCATCTAGGCAGTCTAAAATGCGTTGTACAGCTTCAATGCCCGCTTCTTCATCAGCCCATTCATTTAACATGTCCGAGGCAGACGCTACGGGCACTATAATAAAAGAAAATTTGCGTATAAAGTACATAGCACCAAAGCATTTAAAATACAATATTTTACTTGAGTCAGTGTCTGTGCCAAACAGTGGGTCCAACGTTGTGCCACCTGCAATGGCTTGTACAGCTCCTTTTAGTTTGCGACGCGCATTGTAACGTTTCAATTCCTCGACTGTGTCCGCCAAATGTTGACGTTGAAGCTTATCACGATCCTAAAAAGCGTGAGTTTAGCAAAAAACATTAATGTATTTTAATTTTTTCTGTGGCCTGCATATGTATATATTGATGGCTGAGTGAAAGATCGACCTATCTCGGTAGCCAGTTCAAAAACGCCCTATCTCAGAAAATTTTTCAACAACGCTCTATCTCAGAAAACTTTTCAAGAAGGCACTACTTCAGAATTTGATTGAAAAACGCCCTATCTCAACTTATTTTAAATGTATTTTCGTTTGAGATATGGTGTTTTTGAACTGAACTCCGAGGTAGGGCTTTATTCAACCATATTCTGGGATAGGGTGTTTTTCAATTAAATTCGGAAATAGGGCGTTTTTCAATCAAATTCTGAATTAGGGTGTTCTTGAAAAGTTTTCTGAGAAAGGGCGTTTTCGAGCTGGCTACCGAGATAGGTCGATCTTCCACTCAGCCATCGATATGTAAGTGTAAAACTATATACCAGTGTTTCAGGTTATCAGCGCTTTTGAGGGTTTTTTTTCAGACTTTCGGCGCTACACTCAGATTACACGCTAATAACTTGTTAAGCGTTTATCATCAGAAAACTCTGATGTGAAGTTCTACTCTTTACAGCCAATTTCAAGCAAACAATTTAAGTGAAAATATCTTAATTTTTTTGAATTTTATATAGATTATTAAATTGATGGTGAAACCGGCTATAAGTGTCAAAGTATGTAACATTTTTACCCGCATCCAAGGGTGCTCCAATACTTCCGTTATCGACGGTCTGTGGTGTGGATTCGCAGCCAGCATTTTCATAACCAAATCTTTTGCCGTTGCAGAAATCGATTTCCATTCTGGAGCCTCAAACTAAATTACAATAAATGCAACATTATTAATTAGGTTGAGCTGTAATCGTGCATGCATATATGTATATACATACAGTAGCGGGAAAATAAATAGGAACGCGACATTTTTACAACTTTTAGCTATTTTTTCTTCGGGTTATTTGATGTTTATTATTTTTTATGAAACTATGAAAGTATAGCTACATATCAAGGTACATTGAACAGGTAGTATCAGTAGAGCAGCTGATTTGATTTATTTTCAAATTATTTGGTCTCGAAAATGTCAAATATTTTTAAGTTTTTCTCACGAAAATTATAAGTTGTTAAAATCCATTTGCTTGTGAAACCTTTTTCGATACAAAACAAGCGATTGAATATCAGCTTTTGGAACGTTCGCCCAACTCCGCAGCACGACCGCTGATTACTGGGCCTTGCAAAGAATGGATCAATGCTTCGAGAAACAAACAAATTTACTAGGAAAGAAAGTTGCATCAATTTTTATTTTTTCCAATTTCAATTTTTTATTTTTTATAATTTTTTGTATTTCACATGGCACGCTTTGATTTAGAAGAAAAAATTCAGAACAGTTGTTGACACTTTCGATACCAGAAGCAACAACAAAATACACGCAAATGTTGTTTTTGCTCTACTGATACTACCTGTTTAATGTGCCTTGCTACATATGTAACAAAAGCCACGTGAGTCCGTATTTCTAACTTTGTACAAAAATTAGGAAAAATCACGAAGTTTTATTAAAATCTCAAACTTTTTACTCAGAACTTTTTGTAAAAATGCAGGTATGCAGTTTTAGAACCTCTTAAAGTTTAGTATAATAAAGTCCAAACTTGAAGTAAATAGGATATACCTACCATTATTTTTTTTTTGCTGACAATTTATTTTATATGGAGGAAAATGTGCAACCTCGCACAAAAATAATCCAAAAATCGGCGTTAAGTCCTAGGTACTTCAAACTTACAGTTTATTATAATAAAATTTCTTAGGCCAGAAAAACTGAATAAAAGGTTTGAAAATTGTATGAACATTTGTTGAAATTCGTCGAATTTTTATAAATCTTGTACTACGCTTGAAGTTTCGACTTACATGGTTTTTGTTAGATGGTGAGCTATACATTTATAAAAAAAATAATAAATATTAGATAAAAAAGAAAACTAGCCAAAACTTGTTAAAGTGTCGGCTATGAATTTCAGAAATTCGGTAAGTGCACCCAAAACTTACTGAAACACGGCCACGTGCTATGGAATTTTGCAGTCTTATACCCGAGCCCAGGAACGGTAAACGACCGGACAGCAGCACATGCAGCATTACACCTGCACCCCAAACATCACAGCCTTTGCCATATAAACGCCGCGTCACCACTTCGGGCGCCATATAGTGCGGACAACCCACGCGACCTTTACAAATTTTGCAGACAATGAAATTATTTATTAAGTATTTGAATATGTGCTGGTTCAAGCTAAATTTTGTGTATGTAGCTAAATCAAACGTACCATGTGTTTCGATCGTCTCTCTGCCGCCCGGCAGCTGTATAGCCGAGCCAAAGCCACCCAATTTCACCGGCGCTGAATTGTCTACGGTCGCGAGCAGTGCGCACGCCGGCCTTACATCTCTATGCAAAATATCGTTTTCATGGCAGTAACGTAAAGCCTCCAAAATTTGACGCATGTAATGACTTTAGGAAGGTTTTTTGTTTCATTAGCACGTGTCACTGTTGTTACATACATATGTATATATTTGTGCGTATGTATGTACATATGTATTGAATTTAAGTAGATGAGTTGGTAATGTGAACATAATGAACGAATAATTGGAAGGAGTGAGTTAATTATACTAACCATGCCACAGCTTCACTGTACACAAAGCCAGCCACAGCGCGACGCACCACTTCAAAGCATAAATCGGAGCCTTCCATGCTACAAGTAAAAAAAAAAAAAAAACGAACGAAAAAAACGAACGAACAAAGCAACAACAATAAAAATTAACGCAATACATATTTTCAAAATCAAGTGTAAAATTGTTGCAATATTTTATGTATCATGTAAGTATGTATGTATGTATGTATATGAATAGGTTTGTTATAAATACACCCACTAGAAAAAGTTTCTGTAAAATTTATTTTTTTTACAATATTCATAAACAAATTTTTACGTCCATTGTTCATTCCATAGTCTAAAATTTTGAAAAATTTGCCTGATTTTCAGTAAAATTTCAAAATTTTTTGTCACAATTTTAATAAATTGTTTGGTATGCATTTTTACAACCAACTACTAGTTGGTATTCAGCAATTTTATCTTATCTTTTATTAACTGTAAACGTTCTTTTCAGCTTAATTTTGTTAGTCTGGTAAACTATGTTTATAAACAGCTGACTCGTAGTTTTTTCCCATAAAAAAAATAAGTTGTAACAGAAAATTTAATGAATTTTACTTAACCATTTGCGTCATGCCTTCCGATAACGGGTGCAAATGAAATTATCACGCTTGCCACCACGTTAACTCGGTATACGGTAAACCGGTAATAAAATAATTTTACGAAAAAAAATATGTAAGTATATGAGAAAAATTAACGAACACCGAGTACCCAGGTCGGTGTGAATACCGCTATTAAAATTGAATATACTATAAAACTGCACACCAAAAAAATTTCTTAAAATTCTGGCCTTTCTAAAAATTTGGCAATTTTTCTAAATTAGAGACACAATTTGAAAATCATATGTAAATGGTTTTTACATATTACAGAATTGATTATATTTTTTTATATAAAATTAACGAAACAGTTTTTTTATCAAAAATGACTATTATAAATATTGTAAAAATAAATCTCTTTACGGCAACGTTTTCTAGTGAGTGCAGGTATGTATGTATGTATGTATGTATGTAATATGTAAACAATGTTGAATTGAAAGCATACATACAATTCGAACACCATGTACAGCATGCCCTCGGAGCTGTACGTCTCCAGCAACTCGACTATATGCGGATGTTTCAGCATGTGGCATATTGTCGCTTCGCGCTTCAAGTCTGCAATGAGCATATTTTGTTCTAATTATATTAAAAAGGTTCGCATCCAAAGGGACAAACGGGCGTACACATTTACATAAAAAAAAAATTATTCAGAAAAGACAAAGTAAAGTGGGAGAAAAAAATTAGGAAGAGGTGAATTTACAATGTGAAAACAGCAAGCGGCTATACAGCGGTAACCAGATAATCGCTGCCACAAGCTGTTGCCTTACAAATAGAGTTATGTACATAAACACGAACAAACTTTTGCATTTTAAGAGATATTTATCTAAAGGCTTGAATAATTAAATAGAAAGGCTTAATTCCGGAGCGTGTGATGAACGCACCATATGTACTTGCATACATGTATGGGTAGCATCACTATTATACACCACCCCTAACACCTTTTCTTTGCCTCGCCAGACATACATACATATATTGTTAACATTTTAACAAAAACAATTACTGTGAATTAAAGCTCAGTTGGCTCTGTTAAAAACACGCATTCATTTTTCATGGTAACAACATTCTGCAAAACATACAATTAACTTTTTTTAACATACCATTTATTCATCGCAACATAATTACATATATAGCACATTGTAAAAAAGGGGAACTTGCAGACAACAAAGTCGACTCGAACGCTTATATTAATTAACTTTAGTTACCTTGGCATCCGGAAAACGTTTTTTAGATTAACAAAAAGAAAATTTGGCCTTGCCGCTTTTAAGGCCACTGCGCTGAGCATTAGCGATATTTCAAAAAAATTGCAATTAAAATTGTCTGTTATCAAAACGTTTTGAAATTATTAATAATGATAAGAAACGGAGTATAAACCGAAAGCCAAAGTTAAAGCTATCATATAGTAATATTTTGGCGCTTACACTTTTGCCGAATGTTTGGCCGAACTTATCCACCAATGTGTGATGTGCGTCTTGAAGTTGTTCAGTTGGGATACGTATGTATGAAAATCTATGGGTTATATTTTTGACTTATTTTCCCAAAAAAGGTTAAGTTTTCTGAAGCAATGGCCCGGAAGATAATTTAGGTAGATCGCTTTAAATGAAGCAATTCTGAAAGGCGTAAGAAGGTGCGAAAAAATGTTTTTCTGCTTGCCGTCTAGAAGGGCTTTTCCAATTCAAACATTACGCGAAAGTATACGTTTATAAACATTATATATGAATATTAATATGTATTTTAAGTTGCAATAGAATATATTTGACATAAATCTTTAATAAATACCAAAAAAAGCTATAGCTATAAAACGCCTCCGAAAGGCCCGCTGAAGTACGTCCCACAAATGCCGTTCTGGAAGCCCTTCCATGGATAGCGAAAGCCGAAGCCCTTCAATTCGTGTCACTCCATACAAAAAACAAAAAATAAAGGAGAAAGAAATGCAGAATAGAAGCTTTTTGATTCTCTGGATGGGCTTTTAGCTGCTAAATTCTCAGCGTAAGCTGAATTTAAATATGGACTATATGGTTGCCACAGCTAATGGAGTGACTTGAGGAAATAATACCTTATAATTTCAAAAAGGACCTTAGAGCTTGGTTCAGCAAAGGTGTGGGGCGCATTTCATATACATATATATATATATATATATATATATAAATGGAACCACTGATATTCGTTTTAAAAGCTCTAAATTGGAATGTGAAATTTTTCGAAGAAATTATTTGTTATACATTACAACGCCGCTGATCACAAAAGTGCGGTATCGTTCTATTGAGGAAATGGATTAGTCAAGAATATTCGCTTAATCTGAGAATAATTTGCTGGCGCCAATACGCTGAAATAACAAAGGTCAGAACCGACTTAGAAAATATGTACGATTGTTTGAAGTGAGAAAAAAGCTAAATGTAGTCTTTTGATACCAAATGTTTTAAAGAATATGTAAAAATGTTAACAACAAATCTCTGGCGAAGTAAAAAAAGGAAAAGTGTTAAGGGTGGCGGATACATGTATCTATTTAGTAAGATAAAAATGTAATTATGAAGGCTGTAGGGTGATCGATTACTTGCCATTTTTTGTAAACAAAATAAATATTCATGGGTGAAGAATGGGAAAAAATGCTTTTCATAAATGTATAGCATGGAAAGCAGATAATTTCATAAGTGGGTAAATAATTTTATAATTGAGCGATTCACAACGGTGTCGTAAGTGTCGTATTGTTGTATGTCGTAAACTTTAAAAGCTTAAATCAATGTTTAGAGAACTTGAAACGTCAACCAATTATTTTTTAGCACTACAAAAAATCATAATATTACTTTGTTGGTACTTTGCGTAAGTACTTAATATATTTACATACAACGATATGGCACTTACGACACCGTTGTGAATACCCCAAATTTTTATTATTATTATTTTTTTTTTATTTATTTAAGGGTGGGTATAAATCCTACTAAAACTGCATGAATACTATTTTCAAATTAGGAAGAACCATAATAAAAACTATTTTATATAGATCGTAGATCGGGAACATTCAAAAAACCTCTTTCAGCCTAATAGTAACAGACTAGAGCCGATAAAATATATGGGTAGCCTAGAAGTAATTTTGGCTAGCAGACTTTCGCTATACGATGTGCCTTCCCATTAATTTGTTGTTGAGCAGCACCTGAGAGAAGTGAATTGGCGAAAGACCACGGGTCTTCATTAAGCTAAGATCTTACTAATAGGGTGCAATCTAAACCGGTGTTGACATGAGGCGATTTTAAAGGCAATTTTAGAGGGAATAAGTTTAAGCAAAAGTTGGCTACCTCCAAACATGATTGAAAGCGATTAGTTGCTTATTACTAAAAGTTGCCTGTAAAATCGCCTCAATGCTGCTCAATGGCCACTTTAAAAAGCAAGGGATCTCGTCAAGCGATCTAATGTCGCTTTTGTGACTCCCCCGAAAGAAAATCATTACACCTCCTCCTGGAGTGTGAGGAGAAGAGAAGAGGTGTGTAGGATGTATGTATATATCCTAAAAAGTACAGTCTTTAGGGCTACTAGCCGATTTATATCTATAAATACATATATCTATTCCATGACCCTCGCAAAATAATTCGACCACCCGACTATGCTAATATTTATGCTTTCAAATATTTAAATTAAGATATTTCAATAGAAATATTTAATTGAATTACTCTTAAATAAATATATACGTCATTTCAACTGATTTTATGATTTAACAACGTAGAACGCTGTCGCCTTTATTTCGCAAGTTATATTTGCTGGAACTTTCAACTTTCATAAGTAAAAATTTATTAATTAGTATTACTTTTTCTCACCTTTCATAAATAAATTACTTTAAACTATTATTTCAGAGTGGTAACACATATCTGGCCACAACTTTATAGACAAATTTTATTTGTTAAAATTTTTTTTTATTTTACGAATTTGGCAATTTTTAGTTGGCTGTAATGCATTGATTTCATATTTCTTTGTCAAATATATGAGCAAATCTCACGAGTTGTTTTTTAGTGTTACTTCCATCTCTTGCCGGAAAAAAAGATAGAGTATATTCGATTAAGAATGTCCACGATTTAGCTTTCCCTGATTCCATATATACACATTTGATGTTGCCTCTTTTAGGATATTTTCCTATTGTACCCTTAAAAAAGTGATTACAGCGAGGCCCTTCCCTTATTCCTGATAATATAAAAGTTTTAAAGATTCCATATTTAAATTGGGCGCCACTTGCATCAACTCACCTCCTGCGCACATTTCGTACATTCAAGGCTGTGCTAAATCCTATTCTGTTACAAAAAAAAATCAAGTTAATAATAAAGAAAATCGATGGATAAATAAAGAAGTAATAAGTGGTCATATGAAAATGCGCAAAGATTTTGTGTGAAAAATGAGTAGGAAAGAATGTTACTCATACGCCATGTACACCTGAAAATATCTCGAAAACTTATCCATAGAATACAAAATTAACTCGATTTTCGGAATTAGCGAGCAATCCTATATATGCATTGGATATGTAGTGGCGTGCGTAGAACATTTTTCCTATGACCCAGTGTTATTTTTCGGTTTTTGCCTATTTAGTGCCTCCTTCTGCTATTACTAGTGCCTTTTCCTGCTTATTTCGGTATTTTATTTTACTTTTTCCAGCCTATTTCGTTGTTTTATTTTGCCTTTTTTTGTAGGTTTTTAGGTCCTAAACATCCGTCCCTGCTAATTACTTTTAAATTATATGGCTTTTAAGTTAAGGCGTGCGAGTAAATGTGCTAGCTGCCTGTATATGTGGCTACGGGGCGTATACGTTACATACACAACTACGGGTATAAGAGCACAAGTTGTTATTTTTACTTTTTTTAGTATATCTTTTTGAAGTTTTAATTTAAATACTACTTCGCGATGGAATCTTGTTTTTTAAGCAAAACGGAAGATAATGCATTGTCTACGATAAGTGTACCGCACGTTTTTGTTGAAAAATTTAACAACTCGTGAAATTTGCTCATATATTTTCCGTGCACTTTGAGTAGACAAGGGAAAATACATAAATATTTGAATTGTTTTAATTCAATCTATTCAAGGTTTTAAGAGGCAGGCGTTTTCCGTTTAAAAGAAAATAAATAAACCTCGCTCCAAACGTTCCTAAACCTGTTGGCCATTTGTTACAATTGTAAATATGTCATGTGCATAATGTGCTTCATAATAGGCTTAAAACTGCATGGCACTTTATTGCCTGCCAGCCATTTAGTGGACCACATAGAAAATCCTACAGTTAGCAGCAAGTAATAAAAGAATAATGTTAACCGATGAATCAAAACAATCATTGTAAAAGGCCTTGCATCTAAATGTACACACATATACGTATATACGAATTAGGGATGTTGCGAATGTGGAATTTTCGACATCCGCGGATGCGAATGCTAACATGCGGATGTCAAGTATTTTTACAAAATCATATGGGTAAGTACTCGTAAATTAGGTGATGTATGTAAGTAGGTAAATAAAAAAAAGCAAAAGTTAATCATTTAAAAAAACAAAATATTTTATTGAGTACTTGAATTTGAAAATTGGATCATTATATCGATGGCTGAGTGGAAGATCGACCTATATCGGCAACTAGTTCGAAAACGCTCTATCTGAGAAAATTTTTAAACAACGTCCTATTTCAGAATTTTGCTGAAGAACGCTCTATTTTAGAACTTGACTGAAAATCGCCCTATTTCAGAACTCGGTTCAAAAACGCCCTATCTCATTTTCAATAACTATGTTTTCTTTTGAGATAGGGCGTTTTTGAACCGAATTCTTCAACCAAATTCTGAGATAGAGTGTTTTTCAATAAAACTCTGAAATAGGACGTTCTTCACTCAAATTCTGAAGTATGGCGTTCTTAAAAAGTTTTCTGAGATAGGGCGGTTTCGAACTGGCAGCCGAGATAGGTCGATCTTCCACTCAGCCATCAATATGTAATAAGAAGTAATGTTGCTGCCTTTTCTGCCTGTGTTTTAAAACCTTAAACCTACGCCATTAACTGCTCGCTCGAGGCGCGAGTGAAACTTGAAAATGTCGGACGTATCCTCCTGACCTTCGTATTCCCTTGAATAATCTAGCATCATAGCAAGATCGTTGTTTAAATACCGCTCACAATCCAAACCAGATGTGTCAGGTTTTTCTAAAGCTTTTTGGAAAGAATTCTTCGTTCTCACTCCTTTGGCTGCTTCAGAGCTTGGAGAACTGGTAACGTCATTATATTTTTCGATTTAAGTTTTTGTAATGCACTTTAATTCTTTCTTCTGCGACTGGTTTGAAAAATTTGTGCTTATAGCGGGATAAAAAGGTGGATATGGCAAATAAATTGTTAGTTTCCAGAAATGAAAATTTGGAACCAAATTCTATTTTCAACCGTGGCTGCCAGCCGAATCGGGTCAGAATCTTGCTAGTTTTTTTAAAGGCCCCCGTGTTTTATAAGCATTTGAATTATTGGAATCACGGATGGTGGGAGTCTCAGAAGTGCTTAGTTCCCGGGCGGCTTCTTCAAAATGTTCACCTGTGATGAATAGCTTGTAGTTTCTTATTTGCTAATCTCGACTTTTCCAAGTTGCAGGTAGTCACAATTAATTACTCACCGCTGTCGGTGCCATAAGCTATCAAATCCATTTTGTTGTTCGATTTCATGCGCTCAATGCGTTTTAATATTTTGTGGCAGACGAACCCAAATTTTCAACATATATTGCATTCCAAGTTCCACTCCTCAATAGATATTAACTTCAAACAAAATAAATGTTTTCGAGCTCAAGACTGCGCACAGAGGAGTATTTGTACAGTAAAACCGGTCAAAATTATTTGGTGTGTCTTTCTGCTAAGTAATAAAAGAAAACACGAAGTTTTATCGTAGCAAGCCGTTTTCTAGTTTTTTCAACAGATCTTTGACAAATAATGTTCGATAGTTGCGTCAATTTTACCTCATTAAAGGTCCGACCTATGTACAGCTTTTTAATTATTTGAGCATTGATTCTCTTTATATCTAGACGTTGAACATTTCTGCTGGAAACCTTTATTGAAGTAGCTTACTCTTTGACTTTAAATAGCAATAGAAGGGGGACGTTGGGGACAGTTTTAGCACAGAAGTTTTTAGCCAAGCATCCAATGTATATCCCTATGAAACAAATATTGCCCGGCTAGGCCCGACAAGTAAACAAAATTACTGTTTTTTTTTTAATTATTGCTAGAAATAAAGGCGCTGGCCCAATGCAGGCTTGCTTTGCTTGCTTAGCTTTGAAAACTGTCAAAAGTTATTTGGAATATACTAAAACGTATGAAGGGTGGCCAAATGGCAGCTTTGCTTCACTTGCTTTAAGCGCCTCAAAGTTTCAAATAGGCAAATGTTTTATTTGAAAGCGTTTCATAGGCTTTTGACAAAAAGATATGTTCCCGTTCTAAATCAATTCAAACAAACTGCTGCAGACTTTTATGTACAAAAATTGTCTTGCGTAATTTAAAAAAATATATGTATAATATTAGTAATTCAAAGTTTAATAAAAAGTAATCTATGTTTCCATATTTATATTTAACATGTCGCTGGCTTAAAGTGAAAAGTTGCTAAGTCCAATTTTACAAATTTTACAGGAAGTTTGAATACAACATTTTGCGTGTTCAAAGCAAAGCGAAACTCCATACAAATCATAAGGATTCGATCTCTGTTAAAAAAATTCGTATTATTTTGGCCTTATTGCATATTCGGGGCCTTTTTGGACTTATAAAATTTATCTTTCATTGAATACAAACGAGAAGAAATAAAACCAGTACCTTAGTCCTAAATTTCTCTTACTTTCTATGTCAAAATTTGAGGCTTCATAAAATGTAGACTTATCAACTTTTCACACAAATCTAGCGATATTTATGATGTCAAACTACTGGTAAGTCGTCTGTTGAAAAATCAATCATTTTTTGTTTAGTTTTTTTTTTCTAATAAATGTACATATAGGTTTATAAGTATGTATAATTATTATCATTCCTTTGAAATGCAAAAATTAATTCATATTCATTTAAAAGTAAATCTGAAAAGATTGTTTTGTATTTCTTTTTTTTAATTTTCTGGAATTTTATGGCAAAATTATTCTTAATGTAAGGAAACAGACCTTAACTTTTTATTTACACAGCTGGTGGCTTTGACAGCGTTCCAAGCCGCCATTTGGCCAAACGAGTTTTTGAAGTAAATCAAAGCAAATTAAAGTAAGCAAGGCGTGCAAAGCAAGCCTGCATTGGGCCAGTGCCTTAAATTTCCCAAAGAGCTTCATTTTGAATGATTGAAACGAATATAACATCAAAAGCAAATCTCTAAAAAGTTTTTTAAACTGTGCAGACTTCTAATTTCATGTCTAGTAGTTTTTTTAGATTGCTGAACAAAATCATAACACAGAAAGAAACAAATGATCAAGTAGAAGTGCCCGTTAATTGCTCGTTTATATAGCTTGAGAAATACATAATAGGTTTAAAGACACTTTTATCAAAGCTGATAATTCTTACTTTTGACCAGTTTTGTTACTCCTATATGCGGCAAAAGATATTGGATAATTTGGTCATTTTGTTTGCCAAATATACATTGGCATTCGCAAAAGCTCCGCATTGATTATTGCGAATGCGAATGTTAAAATTGACGCGGAAGCTACGCGGTTGCGAATGCGAATACGAATATTCGCAACAACCCTGATACGAATGTACTGCACTGTATATACATATTTGTGTACATATTTAGATTTTGCAGTACGAATGAAATATCTTGTGCTGTAGCATCTAGTACATCCGCATTTAAACTTCCATAGTATTTAATTTAATATTTTATTATCGGCATGTATTCGATAAATGTGCCTAGAGTAAGCTGAATGTCATACGCAACACAATGATTCACTAAATTGAGCATTAAGAAGCTCATAGCTTTTGAATAATTATAGTGCTTAATTATAATTTATTTACGCCACAATTAGAATTCTCTATCGAAAGTTGAGATTTGCTTACCAGCTGTGCTCAGGCCAGGACTGGCTGTAAACTTCGCTACATCAACAATTTTAACGGCAAACTGTTGGTTTGATTCTCTGTGTATGCAGCGACGTACAATGGAGAATGGGCCTCTGCAAAAATACATTAAAAAATATATTAACAAGCTGTTTTCTATTCGCGAATAGAATTTAGCGTAACCAACTTACTTGCCAATAACTTCGCACAATTCGTAAACGTCATCGAACAAAATTTCATCCTCTGCCATTTTTAGAAATTGAAAATTTGATGAATTGTTGTCGTTACTGATGTTTTATATACTTTCTTTTATGTACTTGTGTCGCACAGCTGGACACTTCCTCTTATGCCGAATTTTAGTATATGTTTATGTGCCTTGTCAGAATATTGATGAGCAACACTTGCTGCACTCACCAGGCTGTTCCGCAAACTTTCCAATGTTGTTCGACTGGCTAAGTATCTACCGATGTACTTAAATTGCCCAATTGAACGCCTTCCCTACTACATGAATAACTTGTACACCACTTCAGTTCTATCCGACACTTTTCTAAGCTACGCTAAGTTTGCATTGGTGTACTTCAGAAAGTTTGTGCTGCTACTTTTTGGATTTTCGCCGTTGCTGATGCTAGTTAAAAATTCATGCAGCACATCTAGGAGAAATCTGAAATTATATTTTATTTTAATCACATAATGAAATATGCAAAGGACAATATCAACAAAGTACAGCTTAATTGAGGTACAAAAGGTGTGGTAGATCTTTTATTTAACGCTTCTTTATCATGGTGTGGAGCAGAGCTTTAGGGCACTGTGACGGTTCAATGTACTTCAAAACATTCAACCAAACGATAAGACAACAATAGGCATACGTGTGGCTGTTTATTGCACGATTTCTTACCAAGCACACGCAAAGGGTATCCTATCTACTCGAGTGGAAGAAATACACACATACATACATACATACATACATATATATACAAGCAGCAACAGTGCAACGTCGTCATTCCAACTTCCGTTTGGATATGAATATGTCAATCACAACTTTTACAGGCATTCACGCTTCTTCAAATTGAAAGGCTGTGTGAGGTTTTATCTTCTTTCAGTTCTTTTTAGCACCCCTGCACCCGGCATCCAATTGGCTTGCGCCAAATAGCAAACAATGGAAAACATTTGGTAAAAGTGGCAACAAACATCAGCCAACAAACCCAAAAACTTTGGCGATAGATGTACAAATACGTGTGTGTGTATATTAGGGTGGTCCAAAAATTCATTGGGGGGGGAGTAAAGTCGTAACTTTTATGCTCTCATCCCCTAGGATTGTTCTATACCGAAAAAATATACCCTTATTTTTTATTTTGAAATCAAAAAATATTTAGAGGCCGCTGAAAGCGCTTAAAGTTGCCCATGCATTTTATAGGGGGAAAATTCACTTTTCGTAGAAATGGTATAAAATTCTTGAAAATCAATATTTTTCAATCGCAAAATTCTGTTTCTCTTCAGGACATTCCCAATAATAGTACCCAATTATTTATCTAACCATTTTTTCAAAGTAACTAAGTAAGTAAGAAAATGCAGTGGGGGATAAATAAAAACTCTTTAGTATTAAAAAATTTTCAAATAAACAATTGGATAATGTTATTGGAAAAATATTGATTTTCAAGAATTTCATATCGTTTCTATGAAAAGTTGGTTTTCCCCCATATAAAATACATGGAAAGATTTGACGCTTCGAGCGACCTCTAAATATTTTTTGATTTCAAAATAAAAATATAGGGGTATATTTTTTCGATATAGGAAAATCCTACAGGGTGAGAGCATTAAAATTCCGACATTAACTATTTTGGACCACCCTAATGTTTATACATATATGTATGTATATATAGCAAAAAATATAACAACAACAACCACCATAGGAAATAAAGTAATGCAGTATGCATTTCCAAACCGGCATCAATGCTCTATTTATCGCTTTGCACGTGTAGCTTCATAGCCACCGGACGGCTACGACGGAAGGAACTGTTTTGTGAAAGAAATGAATTTTCAATCGGAAATGGCTTCCCAACGATATACATCTACCTCGCAAACGTACAATATGTATGTATCACCACAATAGTTAGCTACAACTGCAGCATCCCGCGTACCATAGCGTATGCGCCTTTTTACACCTGTCAACAGTGCAGATGGGTAATTCATCATTCACATCATTCCCCTTAACACTATCTAATGCCTATGTATGTACGTAGGTATGTACATATTCGCCGATACTTCTCAATGTTTTGACGTTGATATGCTTGAAGTTTGATAAGCGATATTTATTTGCTGATTGTAACTCATTGGAAGTGAGTTTGGCCGCTTGAAAGCAAGTAGAGATAGAAAAAAAGGCAAACACCCCAACAGACACCAAATAGGTGAAGCAAAAACTTTGATAAAATGCGGAAAACGTGTGTTTTGGAAATGGAATAGGAATGCGCACGCAATGTTGTCATGCCTCGTAGTCAAACAGAAAGAGTCGTCACAGGTCAGAGCCGGCAGCGCTCAAAGAGTCGGCGCCGCTCTGACAGCGGTCACCGGAAGGGGAAAGGTAGACACAGGTCGCCCAGCAGTAACGCCTTGACAGCGTCTGTAGAGGCTGAATGGTAGAAGCAGAGGAGGAAGAAGCACGGCTGGGCCAAACCTCCGAGGATGCCTCTGCCAGATCAGCCAGGGTCTGTGGCCGACCGACACCGCGAGGGTTTACGCGGCTCTGGGGTCAAATGGTAGCTCTGGTACCTCGAGCAGGGCAGTTGAAGCCAGAGCCATGGCCAGCGTCAGAATGGAGGGCGATAAAGAGGGACGTAGCGCAGCAGTAAAGGCGACAAACTCGCACCTACAGATAGGTGGAAGAGCGGGCCCAATAAACAGCCGCACTTACCCGCGCTTACCGTGAGGCAAAGAAGCGGACTATAGAAACAACAGCAGCACAGACCCGCGTCCGCCGAATGGCGAAGAAGCGGGGAACCCACAGGCTCCAACAAAGGTGACGCAGTCAAGAGAGGGCGCAACCAAATTACTCCGCCTGAGCCACCAAGCATCAATTCATGATCTAAGAGCCTGGCTGGGCCGACCGGTCAAGAATAGGGACAGGTGGGTGCCACTCAGCAGCCCAGCTACTCGGAGACACTCAAAAGCATCCGGATAGCGGTGTTAATTGTGAGTACCCGGCTGCTGCCTAGAGCTTAGAGGACCTAACTAAGCTCCAAGATGCCAACATGGACGAGGTTTTGAAAGGATGGCCGCACCCGCGGGCATTCTGTGGAGTGTACTTCAGGTCCGGTATGCTTCTGGTAGATTGCAGGGACGAGAAAACAGCAACCTGGCTGCACCAGCACTTGAGGGCTGGAAGGGATGCGAGATGTGCACGAGAGAGGGGACGATATCCCTCCAGTGTATAACATTTTTTAAACTATAGGTACAGTTATGTCACGGTAAGCCCGTGGCTACAAAAGGCGGCAGGCAGCAAGGAGTCGGAGTCGCAGGAGACACAAAGCGACGCTGACGCCGGATCCTCTGCTGCCCAGAGGACCGAGTTGACGTCGGGCTTACCGGCGGAGCAGCCACCCCACGAAGAAACACCAGCTCCTGCAAACACGTCCGGGCCTACCGCCACCACCACCTCAGCGGGGCTACTTTCAGGTATCGACATGAGGCGACTAGAGCTTGACAAGCGGGTGAGAGTGAACTAAAGCTTTCCGACCTTGACGAGCCCCATCCATGAATCCGCGACACTTGGCAATGGCTCAGTCAACTTGCATCACGCGGTGGCTGCTTCGGCGGTCATCACCAGCAGGTTCGCCACGGGTGACCTGGGCATCCTACTGATCCAAGAGCCGTGAACCTACAGAGGCCAGCTGAGGGGCCTCAACCATAACAAAAATAAGCGAATTTGGGACCTCTCATGTGAGAGGCCCAGAGCGTGTGTAGTGCGTAAGAAAGATATTGATTATTTTTACATTACAGAATTTTTAAAACAGGACCTGGTTGCAGTGCAGACGTCGCTGTCTATTCGCGACAGCAGTTATGCCCCACCACAACAATAGGTACAGAGGTTATTAGAATACTGCAGGAGGAGACGGCTCCACCTTACATTGGGGTGCGATGCGAACGCCCACAATGTTGAATGGGGCAGCACGGACACAAATCGTAAAGGTCTCTTAGAGTGCATTTTAAGCGGCCAAACACTGACATTCGTTACGAGGGATAGGAAAGAGTACATCACGCTTAGCAACAGATTCGCTAGTCCTCTGGTCGCCCAGTGGGAGGGCTCGTCGGAGCGCCAACTATCAGACCACAAGATTATCCAATTTGCGCTAGGGGTACAAGTCAGGACAAAACGAGCAATTAGGACCCCAGGAAAACTGACTGGGAACGGTACAGCGAAACTTTAAAGTCAAACACGAACAGGTACGACGAGAGAACACCCTTAACGAATTGAATGGCGACATATTAGATGCCTTTCACTCCAGCTGCCCGTGGCAAAATCAAAAGGGGGGGGTCAGCCCAACTGGTGGTCTCGGGAGCTATCGGTGCTGAGGAAGGAGGTACGAAAACGTTTTAATAAGGCAAAGCGTATAGGGCTTGGGCGGAATATTCAGCCAATTTAACTAATTACAGTAAGGAGATCAGAAAGGCGAAACGGGGCAGGAAGTTTGCGAAGATATCTCATTTACCCCTGCAGCCGCTAGACTGCATAAGACCACGGAAAGGGATCATACAAACATCAGACTAGCAATCCGGCTAGCCAATGACACCTACTCAGGTAACGAAAAAGAGACGGCGCTTGTCGTGCCGTTGCACCTTACCATAGAACAGGCAGCAAAGCGAACTCTTATTAAACTTCGCAAGATAAGGCTTTGGCAGAGGTAAAATCCTACCATCGAAGAACAGAGACAAGCTGGGCCCCAAAATTCCATTAGCTTTGCTCCCCACAGACGACCGGCCTAAACTAGTTAACTTCGACAGGAAATACAAAATGGTGCTTTGCACCAAGTCCACTTTGAGCACTTCTTATGGAGAGGCAGATACAAGCGAGCTCAATGCAATGACACACAGACGGCTTCAAAATTACCGACGGGCGTATAACAAAGCATCTTTCAAGCGGAGGTCATTAGTATGTGTACAGAGATTAACCCGCGTAGGAACTATCGTAATAAGAGAATTTTAATAATGAGCGACAGCCAGGCAGCACTGAAGGCCCCCTCATCATTTGAGGTCAAATCCCCTATGGTTTGATAGTTTTGCGTACGTTTACACTTCTGTTTGCAGGCTTCACTGCCAGCTGTCGTCCACGATTGCATTTCGAACATAATAATATATCGACAGTGGTGTCGCCTGCGTTCCGATTACAAATACGCTTTTGCCTTTCAAATGTTTGGAAATAATTAAATTAATTGAATAAACAAATATTTACATTTTGCTTTCATTAGTAAATCGCAACAAGATGGTTCATTTTTAAATTCAACAAACTTTTTGATTCAAATTACTGTTGACAAAAATGCAACCGTGTGCCTCCTTGCAAATTCTTGCTGGTAAAAAGTAGGCGGAACACGACCATTTTTATTGTCCAATACAATGTGATGTCTGCATTGTTTTTGCAAAATTTCATCGTCATAGCTACCTTTGTTTGGTTGTTATAACTTTTGGCATCCTAAAAATGATAAAAGTCACACTGTCAACTTTGGTACTTTAATGAAGGAATTTTTAAAAACTTTTGTGATTTTTACCACCAAGGTGTTTTATATTCCTTCAAAATGGAACATTTTGAAATAACTAGCTTATGGCGTTTTCTTTTCTAGATAAAAAATGTAAACTTTTTATATGGCAACATTATCACAGTGCAACATTTTAAGAATTTGCAACTTGCCCTCCAAACAGGGTAGCCAACTCATTTTTCAGAATTCCACGATTTCGACAATGAAATTCCCCGATTTTGGCTGAAAATTCGTGAAATTCCCCGCCCATACATAGATATCTCCTTATTTACAAAAAAAAAATGTAAGTATTTTTATATATAGCTGGTCTTTCTATTTATTTTATTTTTAAATGTAATTCATCTATGTTTTCATACTAAACCAAACTTTAAACAAGTTTGTTAACTAGTAATGGATAATAATGTACATATAATATTTACATACAGTGGACGAAAAAAAAATTGGGCGCACAAATTTTGGCAAGTTTTCACAATTATTTTATTTTTATTTTTTTATTTGAGATATTTTTTTATAAAAATATAGTTCATTCTTTAACAGAACCCGTTTAAATCCAAGTTAAAAACTTTGTGCACTATTAAAAAAAAAAATCAACAAACTCTCGTAAATAAATAAATAAATAAACTCTCGTAAAAATGTCGAGGTTTTTAATTAGATTTTCTAGAAAAATTTTAAGTATGCAGTTATGTAGCCCACTCAATTCTAATTTAAAAAGTGCCAATTTTAAGTGCCTAAAAATTTTCCTTTTAGGTTTTTTTGCCGAAAGTGTTGCGATTTTAAAATAAATTGTGTTCATTCGTAATATAAAAGCAAATGGGACAAACCAATTTCATAAAAAATCAACGATAATTTATCAGCTTTGAAACTTTATTGTACTAGAATTGAACGAGCTACAAAACTGTATACGGCTCATTCCACGGTGAAGGGTGTGACATCAAAACTTACAATTTTTTACACCGAATTCCTCACAAAAACAAAGTTCAACCCCCGCTTCCTTATGTAAAATAAAATTCCGTACAAAAAACGATCCATTCCCCGATTCCCCACACAAACTGCAATTCTCCGCAAATCGGGGAATTCCCCAAGAGTTGGCATCGCTGCCTCCAAATGAAATGTCAAAATTGTGCTCTCTCCTTGCAAGTTTACTGGGTTTTTGGCCAAACGAACACGATTTGGTAACATTTGGTACCAACTTTACAAGTTTTTTATCTATCTATCTTATCTATCGCAGCTATTTTATAATTTTTGAAACTTAACGATTTTTTTTTCATTTTAAAAGTTTAAGATACTTTAAAATGTCAACGTTAAAAGGTAAAAGTGTACCAAAAAGAACAAATTTAGAGAAATAAAACTAGAGTACCACCAAATGAAAAAAATAGGTACATTGATTATAAAATGACGATGATTTGCGAAAAAATTCCAATTTTACAGTTTTTATTGACACACTAGAAATTGACTCTGAAGCTGTTATATACATGAAGAAGTTAATATATAAAAAATTACGAAATATGTAAAAAAATATTCCACGCCATTACTTTTAAACAGGGATACAACAGTTACAAGTTTTATCG